TCTTCGCTTTGTTTTGGTTACGCAAGATCCGGCGATCTGATTGGTTTTACATATAACTAGGTGATATCACCCCGGGGGCAAGTTAGCAATAGTCTATAATCTATATACATAAAAATTACACAAAAATCGTATCTAATTAATTTTATAAATAAAGCTATATACGTACATATATACTTATAAATTTAATTTGTATAATAATTATATATTTAAAACCTATAATTATTTATAGTAACTTCAACCTTGGCGATAATTTGTTATTTCGAAAATATTATGCAAATAACGTATTAGTTTTTTTATTTACGTAAAATAAAGGTTGATATTGATATGTAAAATATTAGCCAATAAATTCGTGCATGTAACCCGCGAAATAATAAAGGTAATTTACTCTAGAAATTTCAACATAAAATAAAATACGAATACGAACATAGTAAGCGGGACCTTTCAGATTAGTTTATAGTTCAAAAATTTGAAGTATTATTGGCAGATAGTAGCCGATTAAGCCAGATTTAATCGTCTCGATCTCGACCTTGTTATTCTTACATCAGATAAGCTTTGATAGCTTCCATCACTATCTGAACCTTCATTATCTGGCTTTTCTTCATTACTAACATCCCCCATTTCCACACTTGATCTTTTTTTAGCATAAGATTTTCTCTTTTTTGCAGGTGATTTTGTGATTTCAATATCGTCGACGGGCGCTGACCGCTTCATATTAGGTGAAGATCTCTCACTGTTAAAAGAATTATTGACATCTTCATCACCAAATGATGGGGAAATATTATTGCTCCTCGGCTTACAAACGGCTGAAATTGCAAACCCCTCGTTATTCTCTTGATTTTCAGAATTTGAGTCAACAAGATGATCCTTTGTATTACGTCGACTATCTGATGTTCGTCGTCTTCTTTTACTATTCACAGTGCGTTTTTTACTCGATTCGCCCACTGTATGAGCTAAAAACGTGAACATTAGTTGAATAAACAGCCAATACGTTTTTTTCAAAGATTAATTATATTTATAATAGTATCACCTTTTCTAGCACCACCCTTAATCATAATATTATTTAACTTCTGTATGTATAAAAAGTAATGTTCCCATAACTTGTCTGACTCGACTGCTTGTATTTTAATTTTTTCGAATTCTTCATTAAGAATAGATTCGCTAAAATAAAAAAATTAGACACTATAAATATTTTAAACTTCTCATAAATATAATGAACACAATTAGACTTACATCTTTTGTGCATCATTGCAAGTTATTCCGCCAAATAGCATAGACAAAATCTTAAAGAACTGAATAGATCTTACAAGACATTCTCTACCTTCAAAATCATTTATAATCTGATATGCTGTTATCATTGAACAAATGTGCTGGATCCCAGAGCGATGTAACTCTACGACATAGTCCATTTCT